ATATATATATATATATATATACATATATGTAATACGAGAGACACATTTATTTTTTCTCTTATCATCTCTTGTTATATATATTTATATATATATATATATATATACATATATTTACAATCTCGACGGTCGTAATGTAATGTAATTTTTTTTTTTCTAAACTCATTTTTATTACTGATCCACGATTTTTGTTTTTTTTTTTCTGTTCTCATCTTCTTCTTCTTCTTCTTCTTCTTCTTCTTCTAATTTTATTTTTCTTCTTCTTCTTTTTTTTATCGTGTAAAACAGGGATCGGCAACCTTTTGAATTAGAAGAACTAACAATTACAATTTATAAAATTTCAAAGTTTTCAAAGAGCCACAAAACTTTTTCTTGCCAACAATAAATAGTACTCGCATAAATAAAGTTTTTTGAGAAAAAAAAATCAAAATCTAATCCATGTTAATCGATTTAGAACAAAATTCTTAAACTAAAGAGCCGCATGTGGCTCGCGAGCCGCAGGTTGCCGACCCCCGGTGTAAAAGAAGAAATTGTTGAGACACACGATACAATTTTATTATTTTTTATTTTTTTTATTTTTCACGAATGTAATATTATTTATCCTTCCTTTTTCTTTTTTTTTTTTTTGGGCGAGAAAAAATTTTAATATGAAGGGAGAAAATTTGTTCCATTTTTTTCTGTTTTTTTTTTTTTTTAATTAAAACACGTTGTGCTAGTCAAAATTCGATATGTGAACGTTGTTCGATGGTTCGTAATACAAGAAAGATATTACAGAGAGTCTTGAAAAATGAGGTTATGGGGTTGGGATGGGACTTTGGGAGGGGAGACAGACAGAAGGAATAAATATAGGTGCGTTATTTAATAAACTCGTATTTGTCGTCTTTCGAGAGGACGAACAAGAACGATAATCTTCAAATCTCGTTTGTATCTTTTATCTATTATATTTTTTTTTTTTTTTTTTTACAAAATTATACGTCACTAAAAATGTATATTGTGATTGACGTATTAATGACATTTTTTTTTTTTTTTTCACTAATCATCATCTGTTCTTCGTTCTTTCGTACGCATCTATATATATATATATATAACACCAACTAACAGAGTAATATTGATTTAATAACACTTTAGTCATTATATAAATTAGAAAATTAATTAATGTTATTATTAATTATTATATATATATTATATTTTAATAATAATAATAATAATTATTATTATTATTATTACTTAGTTATATATATATCATTACTACGTACGCGTTCACGCAATAATTGTACTGTTACGTACCTTATAGGTATGATCGTATAGCTACAACAACAATAAACCATATTCATAGAGCATAAATCATAATTGTGTTTTTATCAATCATTTCTTATGATTATTTTTTATCGATAAATAATTTTTATGTCAAGAAAAATATTTCTTTTTGTATCGTAGAGATCGATAGCGCCTGTGTAATGGCACTTTGCACGACACGAGTGTAGAAATGGTTGCCTAACTACAGGCGTTAGGTGGTTCGGAGAGTCGTTTTGTTTTTCTTTTGTAAAAATGAAGATAATTTTTGCTTCAAAGGTTAAACCTAAACCTTTCAAGTGGTCATAAATAGTTGAATTTGATTAATTTAACCTCTCGATTGATCTCATGTGTTACTATTTGTCGGTTTACATCAACTAATGCCATTATTGCGTCAGCAAAAAACAAAACGACTTTTCGAACAACCTAATATAATATAATTCTTTTCTATTCGTACGTATAGGTAACAAAATAATAATAATAATAATAAACTTACGAATGATGACGTTAATAACAAAGGAAATAGAGAAAGTCGTCAATCATTGCAAGAAATGATTAAACTCATGAAAAACGTGATAACATTATTCTTTTTCATTTAACACCTTTCTTCCTATTCTCCTGTCAACTTTCACCCAATGATGATGAAGATGTATATCTTATATTTTCCTTTTTTTTTTTCTTTAATTTCACTTCATTCATCGAAATAACTTA